AATTTTGTTATTAGGAAATTGGATTAAAATTGGCGTAAACTTTACAATATCGCAAAGTAGAAGATTCTCGAATATTTTATTTAAAAATTTCATACTTTTCATATTTCTTATATTTTTCATATCTTTCATATTTTTCAAATTTTTCTTATTTTTCATATATTTCATATTTTTCACATTTACTTTATTTAAGGAAAAAAGTATTTTCTATTATGCATTTGCAAAAAATTATAGAACTCCTCTTATTGTCGCCTTATCGACTATTGTAAAGATATAAATCAGCAACTGAGTATAAGATATTTCAGAATTTTCCCCGTACACATGTAATAACGAGCGTTACGTCGAATTAGAAACGGGACAAGAGGATCGAACGTTTCGTCGAAGGGGCAAATCGAATATTGCTCCTTTCGACGACGTCGAATCGAGCACGGTTCGTTGCATAAGTATAGACACGAACACGTCGACTTTCTTATTAAGGTAGAAAGTAGGAATGCAACTTACGGAGCATCAGAGGGTACGGACGTTGAACGTTCGATTCAGCCCGGCACAATTCCACCAATCCCTACCTAGCGTCTTAAAAGGCATTTTAAATCGGCGTGTCGTGAAAGAATCTCATAGAGATGCCCCGTATAAAGGCATTCCACCACCCTCCTATTCTTTTCTCTCTTCTTCTCTTCTTTTCCCTCCATCGTCGTCTTCCTCGCTCGTCGTTCATCGTTTCGATCTATCATCATCGAGAGCTTTCATCGAGTCTATTCGCTTCTTTTTATTACTTGTTTTTACGTACTTTTTAGTTCGTTACAAGACGAGGAAATCCCAATTTTTAGCAACATCTTCCAATATTTATTTCGTATAACTGCTTCTGTGTATTGGAAGGTTTTGTCGAACTTATTTTTTTCAGAACAGAATTCTGAAATTTTTGCACTTAGTGTTAAAACTGAATCTGTTAGATAGGAAACTCTAATTATTATTTAAAAGTGTACTTCGGTAGTCACAGCTTCCATTTAATTAACAGGTAACGATAAAAAATAGACACAAATTCATTCGTGTTCTATTTTTATTCGTTTAATAGTTACATGAGAAATATACAAATTTTTAACACATTTTCTGCCGCGATAAATTATTTATACAGGGTGTCCCGTAACTCCTCGAACACCCGGGGGTTGCTGGGGTGACTCTGAACAACTTTTTCCTTTTCCAAAATACAGTTTGAAGCTTCGTTTTTGAATTATTAACGAAAAACACTGGCCAATTACAGCGCGCGTAGAGCCCGCGCTCAGGGGCGAAGAACAGAGGCTATTTTCAGACCTTCGCTATTTTCTTCACGATTCCGACTAATTGCAGTTTTTCCAAAAATTTATACAAATGTCAGAATGACGGCAAAAACCCATTTCTCTAAGCCTTATAAAAATAGCGGTGCAAAGTGAAAGTTTTTTCACAGCGATCGATAACCAAGAAGTGACGCGTACGCATTTGTTCGATCGCGCGCGGGTGAGCCTCTGTTCTCCGCCCCTGAGCGCGAGCTCTACGCGCGCTCTGATTGGCCAGTGTTTTTCGTTAATAATTCAAAAATGAAGCTTCAAACAACATTTTGGTAAAGGAAAAAGTTGTTCAGAGTCACCCCAGCAACCCCCCATTTCCGGGTGTTCGAGGAGTTACGCGATTGAAACGCAAAACTTTCTATAAAATAATTTAGTAAATTAGCATCTACCGCAATTTTCTCAATTTCCCGAAAATAATGCCCAAATCTCCTCGATCTTCTTCTCACTCGTTGAACTCCTCTAACAACGAAATGTACCATCGACGTACGAAATCAATGGATCTCCACGTTGCTCGGCTGTAACGCCTCGTTTCTCTGCACTGGAACGTTCAAATCTCCATTGCCTGGATTCGACGGTACGGTGGAGTTTTCCTGAAGACGCTGGAAGTATCGGTAAATGATACCGCGACGGGAGGCTAGGATAATGGGGCGGAGGTTGAAGGTTGACAGAGGGGTGAAAATGGCTACAGGCTATGAACACTCTCCGCCACCGCAAACCCGAGATTCGATAAGCCGACTATGGCCTTTTATTAGGATCCACTCAACGCCGCCAGCGTAAACTCCGCACCCTGTTAGAGCACTCTTTTCAGAACGTATCCCTCTAACTATATTTCCATGTTCTGAATTGTACATGGCCGAGCAAAGAAGCGCCAGATTTTCCGAGTCGACGCAATCGCCGGAAAATCTGAATAAATGATTCTGTTAGCGTGATTCAGCTCGAGC